GTCCTGGGCTCGACCCCTGACGGTGGGTGCCGATGAGCACCGAACTAGGAGGACGAATCGGCTGTCCAGTACTCCCTGGTGTGTTCCCTGCGAATGGTGTCTGTGTCTTATTCCACACAGTCACATCATCCATCCTAACTTGACAATGCAAGTTGAAGACCAGTCGATCAGAAACGTCCTTAAACATAAACACGATAATGGTAACTCACGAAAAAGAAAGACCTATTTATTGAAACTGGCGAATTTCACGTTGGTCTTTCCTACTGAAGCAAAATGATCGGTATGGTTTGGCGTATGGGCTCCTAGAAGGGACGTCTTGTTAATGTCCTGAATCCAGAACTCTAACTTCGTCCCACTTTTGGCTTATATCAGTCAGGTGAATCTATAAACCCCACAAGTGTCAGAAAACTAAAACGAAGTCAAATTTTCAAAGTAGACATTCGCAAACAAAAGTACAGTGGTTCAAGTTGCCTTTCTTCATTCATAAAGAATGAATGCATATGCACCGCTGAGAATGATTTCGAACCATGTCACCAACAGTCTCCAAACATTGCTTCCTAGCATCTTGATAACCCCAGTGAGGCAGTATACACCTCTCTACGTGATTCAAATCAACCTTCAGACGCTTTATGGATTGATGGAATGTTTTGATTTGGCTAATCATAATTCTTTTGCAATCTAATTCTATGTCAGGTGACACAACTCTACGAGGAAGACGATAGTTTTGCATGCGGAACACGTGTTATAGCCACCTCAATACAACTTAGCATATAATTCCGCCTATCAAGGATAATACAATGCGGATACCTGTGGTCAAGGACAGCTAACCTCTTCATATCTTCCATTTTCAATGGATGTTTCAACTGTAAAGAACGGAACGAAATTCTGCTCCATATATATATATATATATATATATATATATATATATACGGAAGCTCAATAGGAGGCGATCTCGCCCAGGATAATGACCACCAGATTCAACTCAAAAAGAAGGAAATTGACAGTTATACAATGCTATGCACCCAGAAAACAACGCAGACCTAGAAAAGAAAGAAGAATTCTACAGACAACTACAGGCAACAATGGACAATACTCCAGTCGGTGACATTAAAATCCTAACGGGAGACATGAACGCCAAACTGGGACCAAACAACACAGGAAGACAACTCATTACGAGTAGAGAAGCTCTTGGAGAGATGAATGAAAACGGAGAACTCTTAGCTGACTTCTGTGCCTTCAATGAACTAGTGATTGGTGGTAGCGTATACAAACACAAGGATATCCACAAGGCTACATGGGTGTCACCGGATGGGCGAACCAAAAACCAAATTGACTTCATCTCAATAGTGCTCAACGAAGTGGAGACGCAGCTTACTGGACACAAAATTAGGGAACACTTCAAATCAAATTAAAAACTTTCAAAGAAACAGGAGCTGCAGATAAACCACAAGCCAAGTTCAACACTCAAAAACTGAAGGATCAGGCTACAAAGAACATCTTCACTGCAATCATAAGGAAAAAGGCAAACACACGAATCAACAGTAGAGAAGAGACCAGTGTTGAAAAGCACTGGGACAACCTGAAAGCGGTGTGGAGTCAAACCTGCACGGGAGTTTTAGGCATAAAGAAGAGACAGGACAAACAATGGCTCACTACGGACACTTGGAGACTAATAGAAGAGAGAAAGATGATGAAACGAGAAACTATCCAGTGCATCGACGAGCAACAAAAACAGGAGTTGAATGCAAGCTACAATACACTGAATAAAAGTGCCAAGGAAGATAAAAGAAAATATTATGAAGCTGAGGCAAGTGAAGCAGAACAAGTTGTAGACAAGGGAGACCTCGCAACACCTTACCAACAACTAGGTTCCTATGGGGGAAAAGTTCAACACAAATTAAGCTAGTGAAGAGTGACAGTATAAAGTCAATCACTAAAGAGGTGGAATAAAGGAAACACTGGGCTGAACACTTCAAAAGACTTCTTAATCGATCGCCACCTACAACACGCCCAATAATACCAACAACGGAAGCAGAACTACCAGTGAACATCAACCCCCCGACGAGAACAGAAGTCCTGAAGGCAATAAAGATGCCAAAAACTGGAAAGGCAGCAGGACCAGACGGAATCCCCGCAGAAGCATTGAAAATGGACCCAGAGACATCAGCGGACTTGATGACACCACTACTGGAGAAGGTGTAGAAAGAGAGCAAGGTACCTGCGGATTGGAAGAAAGGTTACTTATTCAAACTACCAAAGAGAGGAGACTTATGTCAATGCAAAAACTGGCGCGTCCAAGCAAAATACTACGCTGCATCACCCTGGAGAGAATCAAACATGCCCTGGATGAAAAACTTCAACCGGAACAGGCTGGATTCAGGAGAAACAAGTTATGCATCGATCATCATTGAACAGAGCTTGCAATGGCAGTCAGTCAGCTCTTTACCTCAACTTCATTGACTTTGAAAAGGCCTTAGACAGCGTCGATCGAGAGGTGATTTGGAAACTACTTCGCCACTACGGGGTGCCACCCACAAGCATACACATCATCCAACAGTTATACGACAATGCTGCATGCGAAGTAATCCACAACAGGAAACTCACGGAATCCTTCGAAGTGAGGATGGGAGTAAGACTAGGCTGGCTGCCAACTATCTCCAATGCTTTTCCTAATTGTGGTAGACTGGATAATGCGATAGACAATGGGAGGAGGAAACAGGCATAAAATGGACCCATGCAAAGTGCTTGGGGGATCTGGATTTCGCCAGTGATATATGTATGATTTCCCACAAACTGGAAGATATGAAAGTGAAAAGTAGCAAGTTAGCAGAAGAAGCATCAAGCATAGGACTTCAGGTGAACATAGAGAAGGCAGTGATGATGAAGATTCCTGGCCAACAGTAACAGTAACAACAACAACAACAACAACAACAGAAAACGATCAGTATAAATGGGAAGCATCGTTTCAACTACACGTGGATGGAACTGACGAGGATATCAAAGCAGCGACGATCGGGAAAGCAAGGCAAGCTTTCCATTACTCACCATGAAAAATAAAATCCAGATTTTCAGCTCCAATTTGAAGTCAGTCTGTGCTACTAAAAGGATCAGAGAATCGGAGCATCACGAAGAGCACTTCAAACAAACTACAGGATTTCATCAACTGCAGTCTTCCCTCAATACTATTCGAGATCAGATGGCCGGTCTGAAAACATCAGCAACAGGGAGGGATCTCTGGCGATGAGCGAACCAACCCAGCAGGAACCAATTGTGCAACAAATATGCATGCAGGAAGAAATGGAGGTGGATTGGCCAAACTTTGAGGGAACGAACCATCAAGTGACAGGCCATCGCCAGAGTGTAAGCCCAAATGGGAAGCGGCGAGTTGCTCATCAGTGCGAGGGTGACATAGAAGAGGAGATGAAAGCAAGTTGGCAGACGTGGAGCCAGATCAAAACGTTGGCAGAGAACCGAACGCAATGGAGACGTTCGACTGAAGCCCTATGTTCCTCCAGGAACTAAAGAAAACAATAACACTAATAATGACGCAGGCTCAACAAAAGGTTTGTAGTGGTAAATAATTCCGCAAAATTATTGGCCAATATCTTGATCATCAATCACAATACGACCTTCAAACGTTTTAAGTTGATTGGTCAGGCTGAAAGTACAGAGATAAACGCTCATACCAATTGTGGCACGCTGCCCTATGCTCCGTTAATGATGACACGAGTGTTTATCATCAGACTGACTGACTGCTTTCAACTCAGAACTTTGCACAGATGTACAGCAGTTCGAGTTGCCACACTACATGTAGCACACAAAGCAAGAGAATAAAAAGAGATAATAAACAGAAATGTGAGGCAAAAAGAATAGTAATATAGAAGATAAAGTTTTTCTAAATATGAAAATCATAAAGAGTGAATGCATCTGCGCCATCATCGAGAACGACTTTGAACCATATCGCCAACTGTCTCCAGCCCTCGCTGGTTTTTACCATCCCAAGGACCCTAACCAGACAGCAGTCTAAACTTCCCTAAGTGATTGGCTAATAGTAACTGTTGTGGATTTCATTGACTGATGAAACCATGTTTTGGTTTGACCAACACTGGCTCTTTTCCAGCTTGGCCATATGTCGACGAATGTGATGACTAGACATACATAACAAATGTCCTAGCCACCTGAATCGGTGTAACTTCACAACCTCATCGATCGACTTCCCCTCCTTACCTAGCACTCGACGCCTACCTTCAATATTGCTCACCTTATTATTCCGCTTAACACGAGAGATGGGACACAGACACCTATGATCAAAGACAGCTAGCTAGGCTTTTCATATCTTCCACTTTCAATGGCCATGTCTTACTCACAGCCATAAAGGAGTACAGAGCAAACTACTGAGCAGTACACACACCCTTTGGTCGACAACCAGTCAGACAACATGTCAGAGATGGCGCAATTATCATCAGGTAATATATTATGCCTTAGAATTCGAAATGTCGATGGTCAATATACATCAATGTTTGCACGGATAACCTGTGGTGAGAGCTGGCTGCTAGCCAAAGTTGGTAGACAGTAATTGACGTCAATGTTTATGTCCCCAATATCGGTGGTGAGAAAATGAGAACAAAGGCTTTGCGTAGGCGGATACAGTTAGCATATGGATGATCTGACACAGCCACAAAGAGATGCAACGTTAGCTTTCTGTAAGGAACAACCAATCAAAAGACTGCATTTTCTACTAACAATAATCTACAGTAATGTACATTAAAATCTATAAATGTGTTGATTTTCCTTAATAAACGATATGTTGCCTGGCCCTTGTCTTCTGTTGTTACAAACCTTGATTAAAGTGTAGCGCGATAATCCTTTCAACCAATCACTTTCAACGCAAACATGCATAAAATCATAGTGATTTCTTTACGCAACTATTTCTCTTTTTTCTAACCAGTGTTTAAGGCGATAAAACAGAAGTAATAAGGATAATCAAGAAATAACATATACATACATACATATATATGTGCATTGACAATTCATTCATTTGTATAAAAAAAATTAAATTTCAAAATATTATCTATCACAAGTATCAGTTTTCATATATATATCTACATTATTATTCTCTTTTGTAACACCCCATATATCATTTAGATAAACAAAAAAAACAGAAACAAAGTATTTCATTTCATTTTTTACAGTGTAGATACAACAAAGTTTTGATTTGAAAAATATGTATATAATGCACCTAGAAGATTTGACTCAAAGACCAGCTGGAACTGGGATTTTCAGAGAAAGAACTGTAGTAGTGATAATAATAATGTCACGTGAGTTGATTATTATTACTATTATTATTATTATTAACATTTGAATCGTGAGAAAAATGCTGTATAGGATGAATTTGTGAAGAGGCTGTCTGTATACTAGCATCACTCGTTTCCATAACACTAGATCCTTGATTGCTTACATCGGCTATTAATGATAAAATGTAAGCAAGCACAGCTGATGCATTCTCACTAGGATCACTAGGACCTAATAATTCTTGCATACCGCGTAATAAATTAGGATTTGCTTTCAAAGCCTCAGTGATTGATTCTTTGAAGCGTTCTACACCAGAATCTTCAAAATCAGCTAAAAGATCTCGTAGCTGATTTTTAAGCGTATCACTGGGATTTGATGAATTACTAAGGATTTGAGGGTTGGCCTGTTGCGTAGTGTTGAGACCACTGCCTGAAAATCCATCACCAGTGAGTTGGGTCGGAATGCACTGTTTAGTTGACTCCGGTCTACTGGCTACAGAATATGTAGGATTTTGACAGGGTCCATTGGCTTGACGTGGAACCGATTTCATATCTGAAATAGCACCACGGGATGTGACGACTGCATAATGCGAAGTGAAAAAGAAATAACTCACTTGGAAGCTTAGAAGGGACTGGTTCTTGTCCGATTCTCTGAGCTTTCAACTCTTGCTCTTGACGCAACATACGCCGCCTCTTTTTACTCCACATTTCATGACAATCCTGGTCGACAGGCAATCTAAGGAAGGTGAGAAGTTAAAAATATCTTGCCTTGGCGGAGTAATTTTAGTCGAGTCAACATTCCGTAACCACGGTGATGCTAGGGCCTCGTGAGCGCTGCACCTTCTCTGAGGATCTAATTGTAACATATGGTCCAGGAGATCAACAGCCTGAGGTGGAATACTATGCAGAAAATTATATAATCACATCCTTACATATGATATTCTTCACGCAGTCGGCGTCTATACATTCGTTTCGGTTTCATCGTTGAATAAAACGGCAGTTTCTCAACGTTAGGCCATATAGCTGGATCCGGAAATCCACATATTCGTGATATAACTTCCAGCTGTTCAACTTCTTCACTGGCCTGAAACATTGGTCGACGAGTGAACATTTCGCCTAAAATACAACTGAAACAGTTAAATGTCGTAACTTTTTCATATGTTACCCGCACGACCATATATCGACAGCTGGGCCATATCGTTCTTCACCGAGAAGTAACTCTGGAGGCCGGTACCATAAAGTAATTACTTTATTTGTATATGGTCTTTCCTTGTCACCAGCAATATACAAACGTGCCAATCCAAAATCTGCTAATTTTAACTGCCCTCTAAAACCCGAATAAATTGAAATAATCTTGTTACCTGTTATTGATTAGAATGTTAGAACATTTAATATCACGATGGAGGAAGTGTCTATCATGACAGAAACTGAGCCCATCCAAAAGTTGTTTCATTAAGGAGGCAATATGCTGTTCACTAAACGTCACTAACCCAGACTCCAGGATACCGTAAAGATCATGATCCATGTAATCAAAAACTAAGAAAAATGCACCTTACAAAGTCAAAACATTGAACAATAATCACGACTTACCTTTATCCTCTTTGAAATCAGTAGGATCGGTTTTGTCTGTAACAATTTCACATAAATTTACAATATTTGGGTGTCTAAGCTGACGGAGTATTTTTATTTCACGGACAGCGGTTATAGGGAATCCTTCTCTTTCATTTTCTAATCTTACTTTTTTTAGTGCTTTGTATTCACCTTAAATACAAAATATTGTATTACAATAATAATAATGCATTTAGTTACTCACCAGTAATTTTATCTCTTGCTTTATACACGTGACCGTATGTACCCTCACCAACTTGAACTAATGTGTCAAAAGCCGTCACAGAACGCTCACCCCACGTTTTATTATTACGACTTTTGCTACGAAGTGAACAAATTCTTCAACACAAAGGAGAGAAAGTTTTTTTTATTACCACAGTTTGCATCATGGATAAAATTAGCACAGAATTAGGTGCGAAAATGAATCTGTTAATACAAGAATAGAAAGATGGTAACGTAATTGTACACTCACCACAATTCAGACATCTACGGTACCTATATTAGCTAAGTGTCTTGAGCGATTACGTTAATGTTAGGTTACGAACAACCTTATAACCAGCTGGTGTGTTACAGAACAATCGAGTAAGCAAACATATTAGACCGAAAATTCCACCAAACACCAGCACTGATATAGCTCCTGTTGCTTGACAAACTTTCTTAAACACAAACGAAGAATGATACTAATTCAAGGTGCCAGACTACACGACTGTATCGTAGGAGTTCGAGTGCATAGAGTCAATAATTTTGACAAGTGGGCAACCTAGACAGGATCTTAAAAACTTTTGACAAAAGTCACTAAATAATTAATCAAATTTCTTAGCTTACTGTAATCGAGTCTCTGAATATAAGCTTTTATGGCGTGAAAACCAAACCATCACCGCGTAATTCTATGATCAGAAGAGTTGAGTAGTTATTTTATGTATGCTTGGCACGTGGCTCCTACGATCTCGTCACTGCTTTGTTTTCTAGGGCGAAAAACAACTTCAAGACCTTGCGAACTGCTAGTTACACAGTAACATTCTTTTTGGTACTTAGACTTATATATTTGCATACTTTTTATCGGTTGAAATGTACTGCTTTTCAGGAACATGGTGTCTAACCACTCCTAAAGACTGCTTGTTTAAATTTCACGTGAATACAGGTCTACCTGAACTAAACTCAGCATTTTGTGAAGCCCCATTAAAAAGTTATGATCAGGAGAATGACTGTGCCAAAACAAACAAATAACGGATTCACCGTCATCTTAATACAATACACAAGTAGAAGCAACATGGACATACTTGGGTCGTCTTGTTATCCTTTGTCTGGTAGGCGGTTTTGTCGATGGAACAGTAACTGGATGCATAGGTGACTTGTCAGGAAAAATAGACTCTAAATTTTTGCTGTCAAAACCAGGGGGCAGTGGAAGCTCAGTAATTGAGGGCTTTCTATGTTCAGATCTACAGTAAGCGATATTAGTTACTGAGACGACTTACGGTGTATCTACATGAATATGCACTTGATGTGTTTTCGGTAACTTCGGAGTCATTACGCTTGAATTATGAGTCTGTGAAGAAGTAATGTCTGTATTGTGTACTTCACGCACATCTTTTATCGATGGTGTACTGACTGTAGATGGAGCAACCGGGTTTGTCAAGAATGGCTTTGTAATAGGTTCAGGTGGTAAAGCTATCTCATCTAATGGAATGGAAGAGTCGACACGAGGAGTATTAGAGCATATTTCATTGAACTGGTTCATGTCCTTTTCGGCGGGAGGTTGGTGTGGATCATCCACATTAGATGTTTCAGTAGCATTCTTGACCTTCAGAATTTTTTCTTTGAAGTTATGGTGCTTTGAAAGTTCTGACATTAGACTAGAACGGAATTTGAAGGCATCAATATCCGTACAGTCCGGTGAATGGTGTCTTGATGCGTGGATACGTTTGTCGCTACTGTGGCTGCGCGAACGCTTTTTGTGCTTTTTCTTTCTAGAAAACGTTATCATTGAAACTTAACACTCCAAACTTTTTATGGATGTTGTCTGGAGAATTTTCCGGAGACCAGTCATCTATTTTCTTAGGTTTATGACTGGAATACTTGGACGTATGGGGCCCATGTTCCTTGGAATGATGAGAATGTTTTTTGTGTTTTCTGGGATATTCATTTTGAACCTTGCAAGAGTCTTCATAAGCACTGCTATTGTAGTCATACTGACGCGCGGTCAAACTAAGAGCATGAATATAGTAAACGTGGCACTAACCGGTCATCACAGACATCATAGCGGAAAGACTTTGGCCTTAAGTATGAAAAATAATAAATCTTACAAATTACATAACTTACATCCTCAGATACTATAGTAACTAGCCGTTATCAGCGAATCTTATGTATGCACCGACATACAGAAAAGGGGCGCCATACATGTTCAAAGTCCAATGACTTGTAAAAGGAGTGTAGTGAAGATAATGTAGGAGAAACTATTCTAGTTATCATGCTGTAACTGATTTTTAACTCTTTTGGCAAAAATAATGAACTAGAAGCACCTGCCGTCTACATTTGGAGCAATATAAATCACTGTTATTGATAAAGCATTGTGTTCCTTCTGATGGTACGAAAGAGTGGATGAAACCACGTGGGTTATCCCATAACGCACACAAATCCTCCATTTGGTTTGAAAACACATAAAAATTTTATCATTTCGCTAGTTTTAGTGCAACTAACTGCCAGTACTAATAAATAAATAAATAAAATAAATAAATAAATTTATTCTCATAGTACAGTACATGAGGGACGCCAGTTTACAGGCATCATCAAATTGTTACAGAAATAGAACCATACAATTCAATCACAATTTAAGGCAGTAGCAAGATATGCCTTACATGTTCGCTGGAGATTATATATACACTTGATAAATGGTAATCCCAGTAGTACAGAACAGCCTTTTCACTTATTTACAATCATTTCTGTGCACAGTTGGAATAATCTGCTAGATTGTCAGTGAGTGCAACACATCAGGAAATACAGAAGTATTGTCTTCGCATTAACAATAAAACCAGGTCTTTGGTGGCACAGTGGTTAGGACTCTCGCCGACCATGCACATGGTGCGGGGTTCGAACCCCTACCGACGCACACCCGGTATCTATGGTCGGCCTGCAAAATTTGGGCTACCGATATCCATGCTGAAAATGCCATACTTGTACTGAAAATACGGTGTGGTATCAAAATATAAAAAAAATAAAAAAATAAGTGCCTGGGAAAAAAAAATAAAGCTTGAAGTCAATTTTCATACATAACTTCGTTGTGTGCAGAATCCTTGAATTACAGTTCATTGATGTGTTATTTTGAAATCAGTAATGTGTTTATCTCATTTGATCTGCAATGTCATTGTTGGGAGTAAATACATAAGCTTCAGACGCATTAATTAATGGATTTCTACTGCTTGTGGGTATTTTCTTAGCGTGAGGAAGGTTTATGAATTTCAGCTGTTCCGACAGGAGTTGAGAATATTAACTGCTCAGCAACATTATGGATATAAGTTCATCACATTATCTAAGGAAAGGTGGGTTGCAGTTGGTGAGGGATATATGGTGCCCAACGAGCGTACATCTGTCCATGTGATGTTGTGGTGAGTTATACCTTTTTCATGTTGTCGGTTTATGTCCATTTTATTCCACTCATTGTCTTGGGTAGTAGTTTTACAAACGAGATTTCTTGTCTGTTTGAGGACACGTATCTTAACCGTTAATGTTTTATCTAGAATTATGAATATAGGCAAAAAACAACAGGTGTAGTATTTAAGCTTATACATTAAATGGACCTATAATTTCGGAGGCTCTCAGATAGGAACTAGAACTACTATCGTTTGCAAACTCTTGTAGTTTGTCATTCAGCACCTTTTTGAAGGAGGCCAATGTACTTGCTTGACGCATTTCCATTGGCAGTTTATTCCATATCTGTGCATACCTAATCAAGTAAAACTTTTGTCTGGTGGCTGTTTTACATTGTTCGATTGCTACTGTACACTCAGTGTGTCTAAGTTTGTAGCCATTGTGATCTGAAAGTCGAGTGCCATTAGTAGAGGTAAAAACTAAGTGGTTTAGAAGCTTATAGTAAAGTGTCAAGTTTAGTCTCAGGCGTCTTAGCCATAGTGTTTCTAGTCCTAGGGTATCACATCTAATGGAGTAGTTCGCACCATTTTCGGTTCCGAGTAATTTTAACGTGAAGTACCTCTGCACTCCCTCAACTTTCAATTTGTCCTCTATGCGTATACTACTATACATGAATGAACAGTAATCAAATAAAGGACGCACACAAATCTTGTACAACAGAGTTCTAGACTCATTTCTGTAGAAGTTCCTGAGTAGAAAGCCGATAAGTCTGCGTGACTTTGACACTTGTTTGGAGATATGTTCAGAAAATGATAAGTTATGTGAATATTTCAGCCCTAGGTCTAGTACAGATTCCAGTCGTTGAAGTGCATGGCCTTGAATTGTCAGGTCAAGTTCTAAATTGTTGCAGCCTATGCAGAGCCAGCCACATTTTTCGACATTAAATTGGAATTGCCAGGTGTCACACCATCTATCCATTTTTTCTAATTCTTGCTGTATGGCGTTTACTGTTATTCCAAGATCTGTGTTCTTGCATTTATACGTCACTTTTAAGTCATCTGCATATAGTATTGGTTTACCTACGCTAAAGCATTCACAGATACTGTTTATATATATTATGAATAAGAGTGGGCCTAATACACTTCCCTGGATCACACCACTACTTACTGGTTTAGGCCTTGAGATTATCGAGCCAACTTTCGTTGTCTGACTTCGGCCACAGAGAAATGATTTTATCCAGCTCAGGAGAGGGTCACATATCCCTAGTGAGCATAACCTGCTGACTAGCAGATTATGGGGAACTCTGTCGAAGGCTTTTGTTATATCGAAATGTAGCACAATTACTGGTTCTCTGTTGTCCCTACTTCGTGTAACTCCGTTGAAAAAGTCTATGTGACAGGTCACACATGATCTCTTTTTGAGAAATCCGTGTTGTGATGGATTGATAAGTTCATGTTCTAGTAAGTTGTCTGACACTTGGTCTCTAACCACTTTCTCCATTATTCGGGATATTACCGGTGTTATATTGATAGGTCTATAGTTGCATGCACTGGTTTTGGCCCCTGCTTTGTGCTTAGGTAATATGTATGTGGGTTTCCACACTTCAGGATAAGTTCCAGTTTCCAACGAGAGAATAAATATTCTAAGTAACAAGACTACCATTTCCGTGCTACCATTTTTGTATATGACAGATGGTATGTCGTCTGTTCCAGTACTACCATTAGACTTTTAATGTCTTAATCGCTGAGTCTATATTTTGTATATCAAAGTCTATTTCGCCTAATTTGTGGTTACTTTTGCAGGTCATTTGGAAATTTTGGGTCGTGTGCACTCTGGCGTCACTGCAATACTTTGTATTCTTCGACAATATGAGGCTGTCTGATTCAGCTTTAGAGCTTTTAGTGGGTGAATTCCCCCACTTACATGGAGTATGAATTGGTCTCCAAACACTCCTCAGTAATACGGTTAGGTTAGCTACACCCTCCAGAATTTAGTTTTCTTTTCATTTGATATTCTGGTTTATTTCTTCTTCTTGATTATTGTTGATTTATATTATTTACACACTCGCCTTAATCCACCGTTGGGAACTCTGAGGCTAACTAAGCAGCACTGCCTCATTTATGGCTGATGGTCATACAAAATTGGATTATCACTAACTGCGTTTGGGTAAAGACTCACAATTAAATATATGTAAATAAAAGGATGTATGAGGCGTTTCGATTATATTCCCGTTAAATACTTTTACTTTAAGATTACATGCTTATGACCGTATGCATGAGAACCATCGAAAGTTACTGAAACAACCAGTTTATCACCAAGAGAGCGTTCTATTGATTAGCGACCATAACAGCCTAACTAAACAGTAAAAGCAACTGAATGGGAAGAGAACCAGATCCTAAGAACAACAGTGATGTCATCTAAGAAACCTAAAATAATTGCTGCTGTTCTAGACTTCTGTTTCTTTGTGAAAAGTATTTTCGAGTTGTCGAGAACTTGATTTATACCGACTGACACCCATTCCGAAGGCATTTAAGCCAAAGTCAACGAAAAACAAGACCCTGAAGATTCAGAGTAAAAGATTCCGTTGCCTTCACGGTGGTGTCTGGCGGCCAGATAGTTGACTTCATATTTGTGATGGAAATATTATCGTATTTTCCCTTGCACCAGGCCAGGAAGAATTTCGCAATCCTCAGCCTTCTATCGGGCCATCCAAAGATGTAAGATAAATTTTACGCATGTGCATACTCACCCTTCACACTCTTGAACTGCTAGCTGATGTTGGTGATTCGATCTGACCCTCATGTTCTACCACCTGAATGACCACTATGATGTCCAAACATGCAAGTAATTCAATGTGCCTGAATTAAGTTCTGTATCACCTTAGCCACTCTGGATGAGACGAGTCAGCATTAATCTAACATTCTTCTAAAAAGTGTTGCATAAAATATCATTCTCAGACAGTAAGGAGATACAATTCTCATCGGAAGGCTCCTACAATCTGCGTAACCAAACGTGCAGTGTCTAGGAAAAGCTGTAGAACAGCACGCCGTGCGAACTTCTTCATAGTGATGTATTCTAAGATCATGAACAGTTTACCCCTAGAAATAAGAACCTGTCACTCTGTTATAAACTTTAAACGCTTGCTGTTTAGACTGTTTCATCCCAATGACTATGCTAATCAGACCGTACCACTTATTTCTAAAACGCATGAGCTATTAGAACACTATAAGGCCTAGATTCATTACTATATATTATGACACTAAATAAACCCTAACACTTCGCAAAAATACATGAAAAAACAACTCGAATATAGGTAATGCTTACTATACACTGTAATACAATTTACATAAACATTTATATATACATAAAACATTAATGTTCTCTTCATGTTTACATACTTCCTCTTTCTGGTAGTATATTCCTGAGCCTGCACTTCTATATATCTCCTGGTCGAGGTCGAACAACCCCACATTTAAACTGAAATGACCATTTAAGTAAATTCAAACTCAAATTCCATGAACGATCCGATGCTACCATTTGAAAACGCTGGCAAACATTCTGTACCAGGAATATTCTTGATCTGAAATAAAGAAGCAACTGGTTTTCAAACAGTTTTCAATATAACACTCAACTTACACGTACAGTCTGCCATGCTGACACAAATGGCGCCAATGGATGGTTCCAGAATCGACCTCGGCCCCATTTCATGCAGTAAACCAATCCAACATGACCTAATTTAGTTTTAGTAAAAGCGATCAAATTTCTTTCCTATTATAAAATTACGATTAGACTGCTGAAAAAATGGAATAAAT